GAAGGGGTGTGAAGAAGAAGGGGTGGGAAGGGGGAGGAAGGCATTGACAGGGAAGAGGAGGGGGGAGGGAGGAAGGGAGGGAGAGAGAGAGAAAAAAAAATCACAAAAGTTCTTGTCTGGAAAGGAACCAGAAGCCAGCCAGGAACTTGTTAGAAGATTGGAATGAGACAGCAAAATACTTCTGAGACTTAGTATGGCAGATACCATGGCCAAGAAAGACAAAAGAGAAGGAAGCTTAATTACAAGATGACTTTGGTGACTCCGATCAACCTTAATTTATTGAGGCTCTTACTGATGGCCTTGTGTGGAGCACAGAGAAAAATACGGAAGCTGTATCCTAGAAGAGCTGAAATACACAACAAATATTAAGGGTTTATAATGCCAGTCACCACATAGTGGATCAGCTGTACTTGAAATATATGTACATATACAGCCAACCAATGAAGCTTCCAGTTCCAGAAATCGGCTACATCTAATCAAGCTATTGGCCAAAGGGACCCCATGGAAATATCCAAACAATCTAGGTATTGCCAAGGTTGTTGGTTGCTCTCCACAAATTGATGGTAAGGAATGCCCTATTGCAGAAGACAATGACTACATAACTCATTGAACATGGAGAAGTCAAGCTGGTACCTTGACCCCTAGTGTTCATGGCACTGGAAGGTACCAGAGGAGAAAGGTGAACACCAACCCAGCAGCCCTTCCATCCACAATGGTGACCTGCCTGGAAGATACACTTGCACAATACTGGCGCAAAAGTTGTGGAGTAACCAACCACTATCTGATGAAACTTAAGGTCTATTCCAAGAGATGGAATCCATGCCCAAAAATCCTGAGACTATATAGGCCGTGAACCTAAAGGGAAACCAAATACTACTGTTCTCATAAAGGAACATAGCAATAGAATGACTCCTAGTGACAATTCTCCTATACCCGGAGATCTGTGGTCTTGCTCAGCCGCCATCAGAGCAGCTTCTTCCTGCATCAGAGGGGACAAGTGAGAGCCACTTGTGCAGGGAATGAGAGACCTAAATGGGATGTCTCTGTCAAATCCCTCCTCTCGGGGCTCAGGGAACCCTGAAGAAGAGGAGGAGGAGAAAAGGTTGTAAGAGCCTGGGGGCCTAGAGGACACCGAGGGAACAGGCCTTCTAGACACACCAGGACACATGAGCTCACAGAAACTGGTAGCATGCACAGGGCCTGCACAGCCCACGCCAGATGGGGTCCTAGCGCTGGAAGGGGAAGTGGACACAAGCCCTCATCTCTAACCCAGAAGCTATCTGCAACTGATAACCACTAGCAAAGGGAAATTCTCCAATCAAGTCTCACTAGCTATACAAACCACATTTAGAGCAGGCCCCATGCCCAGCAGTCAATGGCCAACACAACACAAACCGAGTGGTGGTTTTAGAAGTGTGTGTGCCATGGTGCTTAGGCTAGGCTTATTTTTTCTATTTAAACCTTACAGGTCTTGTGCTTTAGGTTTGCATTTTTATGGGATTTCTGTATGTGCAAATGAGTGCGCCTCTGTGTTTACATGTGTTTCTTGTGCTTTTTCTTTGACACGTTTTTTTCTGTTTGTTTGGTTTGTCTGGATCTATTGTGTTTGTTTTTATTTCATTCTGTTTCATTATAATTATTTTTAGATGCCTGTTTGTTTTCTTTTTGCTTTTCTTCGGGGAAGAGAGTAAAAACACAGCTCCCTGTCACAAATTATACAGTTGAATTTCCTGGATTTGGGGAAATCGCAGGGTTCAGCACATCTGCAGTGCTATGGATAAACCTCACCCTGGGAGAACCACCTTCATGATCATGGTATTGCCCCTGCCAGGTAAGAGGAAGAAAGAATGTGGGTTTGGGTAGGTGGAGAGGTGGGGAGGATCTGAGAGGAGTTGGGAGAGGGGAACCGCAATCAGAATGTATTGTATGAAAATCTATTTTTAATTTTAAAAATATGTGTACATATATGTATACACATGCACATATTCTTCTGCCCAGCCCTCCTTTACACCACGGCACGCACTGCCCTGCCTCGCACTTCAGCAAGTATAACCTGCTCTTGGTAACCTTGGAGCGCCACCTGGTGGGAATTTAAGGTATTAAATTCTTATGATGTCTGGAAGCAGCGTTGCCTACAAATGAATAAAAACAAATGTTGGCTGACAAATACATTGAGATGGATGTCATGACCACAGACTTCTGTCCCCCTCAAATCACCAACTCCATGGCAATGTCCCCTAAAGACAGCAACTTACATGAAATATACACGGAATTCAAAAGAACAATTGTAAGCATGGTCAACGTGTTCAAAGCATATAAAGTCAGAAATAAGTAAAAGCCCGAATGCACTTAGAGAGGATCAGGATAAATGACTGAAGTCCAAGAAAGCACACAAAAATGGCCGAGGAAAATGACAAGGACAGCACTGGATATGAAAACTGCATTGAGCATGGACATAGAAGAAAACTAAGGAACAGCCAAGTTGAAGCAGAGAATGAAAAACCCGGTGAGCAAAAGCAAGCCACGGAAAGTTCCACCACCCAGTAGTCTTTTTTACAGGGTCTTAAATTCGGTGTGACTCTGAGAACGTCGTGTCCGCTCGTCAGGGAGGCTGCTCTGTGGTTTGTTATTGCTGCTCCTGAGTCGTCGTCTAGTTTTGGAGTCCGGGTAATGCTGGTTTCCTTCCTTTCCTTAGTGGGATCATCTGATGAGTGTTGGTGCTAGTCTCTGTGACTGTGGTGGAGAATTCTGTGTGAATCCATCTGGACCTGGACTTTCTTTTCTTGGAAGACTATTGTTGCTTCAATCTCATCCCTAGTTCTTGATCTTTTTAAATTATTTATTTCATTTTGTCTTTATTTTGGTAAATTGCATGTGTCTAGAAATTTGTCCACATCTTTTAGATTTTCCAGTTTAGTGGATTATAAAGGTTTTTATAGTGGTCTGATAGAATATGGACTATTACTTCAATATTCCTGTATTTATTGAGTTTGCTTTGCGTTCTAATACATGGTGTTTTAGAAATTATTCCATGAGCTGCTGAGGAAAATGTATATTTTTAATATTTGCATGGAATGTTCTAGAGATATGTTAGTCTGTAGCTTTACATTTAACAATATTTCTTTTATAAAATTGGATGTGCCTGAGCTTGGTATGTGTATGTATAGAACTCTTCATCACTGGCCATGTCCTAGTACAAGGATTTTAAAAGCAGATGGGTTCTAGAGACCAATAGGGCCAGCAGGTCAGAAGGAAGAGTGACGAAGAGTCAGTGGCCAAATCTTCCAGTCCTGGCTGAGGCTGGGACAATGTGGCTGTTGCCACAGCTTCACTGGGCACAGATACTGCAGGAACTGGAAAAGCCATAAGCTGATGAAGAACACAGGCATATATGACTGGGTGGAGCCTATCAATTAGAGAGCTTTTCTCTAAAATGAACTGATTGTGAATGTAAACCATACCCTTGAATGCCTTCACAGCAGCATTTGGCCAAAAAGTGGAATGTCACAACCTTCATATGTAAAATCCACCACCTCAGCGGGTCATGAGCCCTCAGAGTGACTAAGAGGCCCAACGTGCAGTGAGTAGGCAGACATGGGCAAGTGGCTCAGATGAGAAGCGTGGGATCCATATCACTGTCCTACTACACCATGGAAACTGAGGAGCAGCCAAATTAATCAACCTTCCCTAGTTCTCCTGAATAGTGGTATAACCAGGCTGGGGCTACATCCCATCTCCTGACATGGGTGTGATGCCTGCTCTTTGCTCTGTCCACTGCCTTCCTTCTTTTCCCTTCCAAGTTCTGAGCAGCACTGGAGTTAATTCAAAACTGCCAGACCAGCTCCCTGACAGTAGCCTACCAAACCCAGGAGCATCAGGTCGTTCTTGGAAATTCATTACTTTTTTTTTTTTTTTACTAGACTGCTAAGCAGAGGGTCTCTAATGAAAAAACTCCTGTGTGGTAATGGCCTCTTTTCTCTATGAGCACAAGAACATGGAGTCTTGGGATGCTTCCACTTCCATCACATTGCAGAGCAACTGCAACTTGCTAGAAAAGTCCTAAAGCTGCCACCCTGTTCTGCTCTCTCCAAAAATGGCCTCAGATGATAACCAGAGCAGTGCAAGGACTGACTGGGGACACACACATTTAATTTGTCTGAGCCTATTTCCTTAACAGTAAAGTCCCCTTTTATGGGCTGAAATGTGGCTCAGCAGCAGTCCTCTTACCTAGCATGCTCAATTCCCCAGTACTGGAAAGAAAGTCCCTTTTTACAAGGTAGTTGTGATCATTAGAGGAAATTATTTACATAAAGCTGCTGCATGAGAGCTGGGACATAGCTCCCACCAGCCATGGGTTTTCCCTCAGAAACATCAGCTGCCTCAAAGCCCCTTGTGTTAGCTGTCACCTAGCCGCAAGGACAGGGAATGGGATTAGCGCTGCCATCAGAAGTCTTGCTTTCCAAATGTGTGCCAAATGCCCCAGTTTGGTACTACAGGGAAGCTGCTCTACTTTCAGTGCCTTTCTCCTCTTTGAATGTAGATACCCACCTGACACAGATGGCTTCCAGGAGGAGTACAAGAGGGATAATATGACTCGAAATCGTCAGTGAAAATAGATGATATGGCTACATTCACACTAAGTTTCCAGGAACCAGTAGCAGCAGAGTCACTTCCCTTGGGAGTTTTTCCTTTCCTCTGCAGTGAAATAAAATCAGATATTCACTGAAAACAAAATTTCTTAGAACTGATCCTGACTAACCCTTCTGCCTCTACGGCAGTAGAACATGTGTTTCACAGTATCTATTATTCATCAACCCATCTATCCATTCATCATTCATCAATAACCTATCCATCCACCATCTATCCATCCATCCATTCATCATCCATCAATAACCCATCCACCATTCATCTATCATTCACCCACCATCCATCAATAACCCATCCATTCATCATCCATAAATAACCCATTCACCATCCATCCATCCATCTGTCATCCATCCATCATCTATCAATAACCCATCCACTATCCATCCATTCAGTGAACCTTCACTGAATCCCTGATGTCCGAAGGATATGCAGTACTTATCTCTTTAAGGACACACTTTAGTCTATGAGTAGCATACTTGACTGTCACTGCTTAGCCACATTGTGAGCTTTTGGAAGAGAGATGGTTCCAGGCAAGGTTCAGACACCAACAAAGAGAACGAAAAGGACCGAAAGACACCACTGTCACAGGCTGCTTCCCTCTGACTGTAATAGAGTGGGGCTGCCAGTTGGGTTCTGCAGAGGAGAGGGCAGTGTGGGAGAAAGACTGGGACTGATTGCTTCAAACAAATGAGGCCTGGTCACTCAGCAGCCTTCAGACCTCCTTGGCCCAACTCAGACCCTGGATTAGTCTGGCACGAGGCCATTTATCTGAGCACAGCCTGGCGTCCTCCCACCAACATGGCAGCTGCCCAGTGCCCTTTCATCTCAGAGGCCCAGGGGCCATTAAGGCTGGCTGGAGCCAAGTTTCATATTAATGAAGGATGCTCTCAGTGTCAGCTCACCAGGAGCACAGACAGAGCTGCTGTCAAAGGCATCTCCCTCTGGTTCTGGCCATACTGAGGTTGCCTAGCGCATGGACAGCATGACTTCCTTCCCTTTCCTTGGCCTCTCTCCTTTCTTCATCTTTCATCTCAATTGGGCTTTTTTTTTCTGCGCTGTCCACTGCCCCTCCACCCCTCTTCTTGCTCTGTCCTTATTTCTTTCCCCCTTCCCTTCTCACTGACCTTTACCTCTATCCTGTGCCAACTCCCATTCCTCCACTGTATTTGTTTCTCATCTTTGTCTCTTTTTTTATTTTCCTCCTCATTTTGTGCATTCCCTCCTTTAATAGCTACTAAAGGTCATTGTGAAAGTGTACTTCAATTTTCTGGATCATTTTCCTGTTGTGGGACACTGACATTTCTTGTCTTTTTTTAAAAATTTTTTTTTTATTTAACTGTATGTGTGTACTTGTTGAGTTTATGTGCGCCACTTGCGTAGAGTGCCTACAGAGACCAAAAGATGGCATCACATTCCCTAGAACTGGAAGTTCTGTGACATGTCCAATGTGAGTGCTGGGACTGAACTCAGGTCCTCTATAACTGCTGAGCCATCGCTCTAGCCGCAGTCTTTTATCTATGCATGGTAAAAACATAACTAATGAGACTGGCATCTTAATTCTTGTACTGGCCATTCAGATAGTAGGCTGTAAACAGAGTTCACAGCCTGTAGCCCTAAGAATGTTCCAAAGAGGGTTTTTTTTTCCTCAGCAGAGTGCTTTAAGTTCAACAAATTAACAAAACAAACAAAAACCAACAACTAGTCCATCCCTGAGGTTTGGTACCTTCTCCAACACTGATTCTTTGCATATATCTTTGTTTGGTCATGGGCTGCTTACAATGGCCTAGACTCAGACACTGGGTGGCCTTAGGAAGCATACAGAAGGCTCCTGGGCTGGAGCACAAGCAAGGATCACAATCAATTGACTGAGAAGTGTGCATCCAACTTATTTCCTTGACAAATATATGCTGCCAAATATAAATATAAATATAAATCATGTCTGAAACCCAAGACACTGAGACGCCAGGATAATAATGAGAACATCTAACTACACTGACTTTGACCTCTGAAACTCTGCACAGATGGGGTCCAGGCTGGAGACGACTTATGGAATATTTGACATCTTGCTTTGTGATTTTGTGCCTAAAAAGATAAATATAAGTGAATATTTATACAAAGCTAGCAAGTAGTGTTCATGAACTTCTCCTAGAAAGACATGAACAAACATTTCCTCATCCCAGACAGGCCCTCAGTAGCAGGCCAAAGTAGCTATTCTAACATGATCCAATTTACCCAGTGTGGCTTGTTTACTGAGCATGGATGAGGGTTTACTTACAGGAGGATGGAGGACACCAAGAAGCCACATCACCAAAAATTCTGACTTGGGCATGAACAAGTTAGTCGGGGTTCTCTAGGGTAACAGCAAAACTTAGAGAATAAATCTCAGTCTCTCTCTCGATATATACAGATATATAAATATAGATATTGATCCAATAGGTATGTATATATGTAGGGTTCATTATATATCAATCTGGACTCCTAAAGAAGTGGGCTCTAACACCAGTGAAGGAATGGACTTGCTAGTGAGGTGAGAGCAAGCAGGCAAAGAGCAAAAACTTCCTTCTTCCGTGTCCTTATATAGGCTTCCAGCAGAAATTGTGACCCAGATTAGAGGTGGGTTTTCACAGCTCAAATGAGCTAGATTAAAGACATAGCTTCCCACCTTTAAGCTCCAGATTAGAAGTGGATATTCCCAGCCTGGCATTGGTGCTGCACACCTTTAATCCCAGCACTAGGGAGGCAGAGGCATGCGGATCTTTGTGAGCTGGGGGCCTGCCTGTTCTACAGGACTAGTTCAAGGACAGCCAGGGCTGTTACACAGAGAAACTTTGTCTTAAAAAAAAAAAAAAGGCAGATCTTCCCACTTCCAATTAAGCAAAAATCCCTCACAGCTGTGTCCTCCATTTTTTGAGTTTTAGTTAATTCTAGATGTAGTCAAGTTGGTAACCAAGAATAGACATCGCAATGAATGATGAAATCCCCATGGAGCATAGTAGAGCCCCATTTCTGTGAACTTTCTATATTTTATATACTCTAGCCACCCCTGCAGCTGGCAGAGAGGTTCATGAGTGACTGCTGAGATCTCAAGCAAGGGTCAAATAACCTCCCCCACCCTCTTTCTCTTAAGAAATGTCAACAGACTACATCTTGAGGGTTGTGGGTAATCACAGTTGCTTGGATGCAAAAAAAAAAAAAAGTGGGATGTCATGATAGTAGAATGTCCTCATTGAGTTGATTTAATGTTGTGTTGTCACGGGTAGGCAACCTTGGGCCGCACTGGCAGTCCACTGTTGGTGATTGACTTACATTTCATGGCAGCCTTGTGGAGTTGATAATACCTAATTCAAAGACTGAGTAGCCCAAGTTTACAAAGATGGAGATATTTGCTCAATTCAACAAGCCGTTTTAAACACTCCTTAGGTACCTGCAGGCTACTCAAGAACTAAGGCATGCATACATCAGCCATCCCTTCTGACTGTAGAGACTGAAAACAGTTTTTAGTGTAGACACTTGGGACCAGGTAATTTAGGCACTTTGGACAATCAGAGCTCAAAGGAGAAACATACTAAGCTTCATGGTTCTTCCTCTCAATAAGGTTGGCCTCCATGAGGACCCAGGGTGACATGGATACCACAAACCAGCTCATCTTAAAGACTCTATATGGTGATTTGAATAGGAATGACTCCCATAGACTTTTGTGTTTGAATGCTTGGCCCATAGGGAGTGGCCCTACTAGGAGGTGTGGCATTGTTGGAGTAGGTGTGTCCTTGTTGGAGGAAGTGTCACTTGGGGTGGGCTCTGAGGTTTCAAATGCTCAAACCAGGTCTAGTATCTCTCTTTATGTTGCCCGATGATCCAGATGTAGAATTCTCAGCTCCTTCTCCAGCACCATGTCTGCCTGTGTGCTGCCATGCTTCCCACCATGATGACAAAGGACTAAGCCTCTGAATCTGTAAGCCAGCTCCAAGTGTATGTTTTCCTTCATAAGAATCTTCTCCTGGGTGGTAGTGGCTCATGCCTTTGGTCCCGGCACTCGGGCGGCAGAGGCAGGCAGATCTCTGTGAGTTTGAGGTCAGCCTGGTCTATAGAGAGAGTTCCAGGACAGGCTCTAAAGCTACACAGAGGAACCCTGTCTTAAAAACAAAAAAAGAATCACCATGGTCATGTGTCTCTTCACAGTAACAGAACATTGACTAAGACACTCTTACAGCCTCAGATGGCACACAGCAGCCTAGATTAAAGGAACCAGCCCTAATAAGATTTCATATAGGTATTCTATGTTGTAGCATTGAACACATTAGCCTCCTAATTGAGCCACTCACCTGTCACCATAACATTACATCATACACCAAGAAACAGGGCATGGTGGCATGTTACTTTAACCTCAGCACTCAGGAGGCAGACAGCCTGGTCTACATAGTGAGTTCCAGGACAACCTGGTCTACATAGTGAGTTCCAGGACAGCAAGACTACATAGTGAGACACAATCTCAAAAAAAAAAAAACAAAAAAACAAAAAACAAGCATATTCAGAGAAACAAAAGAAGCATCTACAGGCCTCCACAAATGGTGATAAGTTTTGCAGAATATCCAGCTATAAGGTCACACAAGTTCAAATGTTTTCTTGGAACAGCAGAAGAACATATCTAAAATACAGTCTGTCCTCAGAAATGTGGCTGTCACAAGATAGAAGTAGTAAGAACAACACACTTTATTCTCATGAAGATAAAAAAAAAAAAGGTCTCTAAGGTTTTGAGAAAATAACCACTGGTTGTTTTTTCTGACTGGAAAGAATTGCCAGTGTCTGAGGGCTAATGTGTGTGCTGAAGGTTGTGAAGAAACAACCAGTTTTTCATGCCCCTGACTCTGGAGCAGCACTCTCTCAGCAAAAGTGCTCAGTATTCATCCCAATCTAGTTTTCTAATATCATTTTTACTTTTTAATTTTCTTTATTTATTGGGGGCGGCAGGTTTGAGACAGGGTTTCTCTGTGTACTAGCTTGGTAGACAAGGCTGACCTCGAACTCAGAGATTGCCCCATCTGTATCTC